TATATATAAAGAAAAGGTACCAGTAAAGTGCTAAGTACAGAGAAGACAGGAGCCACTAGAAGCAAGGGAAGGGAAAGGCTCCATGGAAGAGGTGAATAGAGCTCAATGGTTAAAACAAGACTTCAGAGTCAGATGGTCTGACTTCAAGATTCTACCACATTGCAGAGCTTTGAGACCTTGGGCAAGGTCCTTAATTCTCTTTAAGTTCAGTTTGCTAATCTATAAAAAGAAAATAATAATATCTAACTCAATAGAGTTGATAAATGAAATAATTTATAAGGTTTTTAGCATAGGGCCACATATGTATTTAATACTCCATTAACGTTAGCAATTATCATCATTACTATAACTACTATGTAAGTCCTTAAGCCTTGGCTTGGATCTGCATGTATGATGACTGAGGAGGACAAAATGGAGGGGAAAAAGAACTTAATATAAGCAAAGGTGCAACGTCAGAAAACTCCAAGTACTTGCTTTGGCTGGAATATGAAGTATGTAAAGGGAAAGAAGTTTGATCAGAAATGTTCAGATGCCAGGTTAAGAATTTTGGACTGAATCGTACAGGACAAAAGAAAGTTTAATCTGGCAAGCTAATCTATGATTCTAGACCCATAACTCAGAACAGGTTGATTCTATGATGACAAACAAGTTTAACCCAAACTCTCTTGGTTGTGAAGGTGGTCAACCAGGGAGGAAAATGTTGAGTACACGGTGTTGCAAGTAGTCTCCTCTGTATATCTCAAAGTAAAGACCATTTCTTCCCTCGTTAGCTGCATCCTCTGCTATTGACTCATGAGAGTGAGACCCTTGGGCTCAGTTCATTTTGCTGGGTGACTTATCACTGCGGAAGGATGAAGAAGAGAAGAGTAATTCGTGTCACAACTCTTCTTTTTGTTTTCTCTAAAACTGGTAAACTATTAAGAGATTAAGAAGGCTGGGCTGAAACTCCAAAGCCTTTTCTTTAGAGAGATTTTTGCTATAGGGTGCAGGCACTAGACAAGAGAGAGAGAGAGAGAGACAGACAGAAAGGCAGACAGACAGAAAGTGAGAATCACCCCCCAGGGGAAATGGCCACACCACAATCTCTTCTCCTACATTCTCCTCTCAGGGTTTTGCGTATGCACGCACACATGCCTGCTGTGAATTATAGCCATTGGGTCCAGGACCCAAACAGTGGTCAACTCTGTGGGAGTCCAGCGATGTAACCATTATGCCATCTGCTGGTACAAAGCCCTTTTAACAAAGGCACATCTGCTAGCTCGGGGCATGGGAAGAGACAAGAACATGTAAAGGAGGTTGGAATGCAGAGGAAAGGAGGATAATGACTGCTTCATTTTTATTATTTTATTTCAATAACTTAAGATCTTAACTGAAAATCTTAGAAAATTCTGTTCTGCTCACAAAATGGAATGTCCTAAAACCATTACACTTTGTTGATTTATGGAGCTGAAAATCAGTTGCTCTATAAAATAAGAATTCCACCATCTTTGGCTAGGTATCTGATTTGTTACTAAGGCTATTTAGATTCAAGAAACAGGGTCTAGGGACCAGCAGGTGGTGTGGAATTTAAGATGTTGGATCCCATATGGCCAACTGTATGGTTCAAGTCCCAGACCTGGTGGCTTAGAAATCATGCCAGGTATGCGTGGGTGCGTGTCCAAAATACCAGTAGGAGGATGGAGGAAAAGGGAATGCAGTGTGGCCATCTATCTTGGGGGATGATGTCACACTTTCTCTCTGGTGAGCACATACACACTACAGCAAAAAACTAAACACAGCCTATGTTGTGGGAAAGAGGGTCTGCTGCCTAGCTCTTGTTTTATACTCACCAGCCTCTGGTACCTGTTATCAGCTCTGTGTCAGCCCTGCTATTTCTCTAGCCAAACTACATTTCTTCCCAACCCTCTTTATCATCCCTCAACTTCTTATCAAGCCAAAATTATCTCCACACTATTTAGGTCTATGTCCTACACCTAAAATCTGATTCATTATCTTAGTCATTCTTAGCAGACTATCACCTCCTGGCTCCCCTTCTTTATTGCCTTTCTTAGGCCAACAACCATCGTTCTTGACCTTTACAACTAGATTAAACCTTATATGGTAGAAATAAACAATCTCCAAGCATAGTAATCCGGCACTACCTAAAACACTCGGACCAACTCTTCTCAATGCACCCTGCAAGTCAGAATCACCTCAACAGTATCTGAAAACTAGTGATACTCAGGGATCAAATCCTATCAATTAAGTAAGATTCTGGGGGAAGAGAAGGAAAACATCAATTGACTTGATATTCTTCACAACTAAAGGGAGGGAAAATATGTACAAGGAAGAGGAGACAGAGAAAAAATGGCAAAGCATAATTTAGAGATTCTAGTTCTACAATCCAAGGACAAATGATGGGAAAAAAGATATTAAATATTAAAAATAAAGCAATGAGACACATCTCTCTTGCTTAGTTATCAACATTACCAAATTTCCAAACATCTTTTTTCTTTTTTTTTTTTTTAAACAAATAACCTTAAAGGCAGGCAGAGCTACACAACTTTCTATTCAAAGTAAACAAAGCAATCAAAAGATCTGAGATTCAGCACCATAAAAATTAGCGATTAGTCTTTAATTCTTTAACAAAATTGCCATCCATCTCAACAAAGGAGTGGAAAGACATATTACATGTCATCTTTTTGACATGAGTCAAAGTTAGAGCACGTTCTCTAAGATATAATCCAGCTCAGAAACAGAGAAGGTCAGTGCTAATTCAGAAAACTCCTGGAAAAACTTACCTTGAATACTATTGGCCTTCACAAGGTGAGCACAGTCCATCAGCACGTCTTTTGGAATGTCTTCTATCTTCTCTCCCTGAAACACAAAAATAAACCACATGGTCCACTACTGGTTAACACTGGAGCACAATAAAAATGTAAAGAAAATATTTTATATATATATTTGACCAGAGAGAGACAGAGAAAGAGAGAGGGCAAGTGAGAAAGTAAGCCACCAGGTCTGGGACTTGAACTATGGCAGCCATGTGGGAGTCCAACACTTTAACCACCATGCCACTTGCTGGCCCTAGAAGCCAAACATTTAAAAAGGAAGTAAATTTACTGTGTCCATTTCAATGTGTATTTAAATCAACAGAAGGCAGTAATATGGAAAAATCTTAATAAATTTTAAAAAATGGGTTCTGAAAGAAAACTTTCAAAACATTAACTATATAATTTTGTCTGTGTAATTTTTGTTCTCTGTCTTCCATTCTTACTTTCAGAATCATCATGGGGAAATTGTGCCTATTTTCAACAGCTAAAGTCTTCCTGGCACAGATCCCTATGAATTTTCTTCCCCTCAAAGAGACAACTTGTATTGACAGTTGGTGGGTTTTCAGCCTTGAGGAAAAAAGCTCTTGGTGGGTTAGATCTCAACTATTCCCTCTATTCACTGTAAAGAAGAAATAACACAGAAATAAACATTAAAAAATAGAGGATTTGGAATTCAACTTTTTTTTTTTAAGTTTTGCAGTAGGGAGCATGTACTTGCTGGAAAGACAGAAAAGGAGGGCAAGTGAGAAATCACTCCCCGGGGAGATGACCATGCTGCAAATCCTTCTCTTTCATTTTCCTCTCTGGATATTCTGGGTGGACAGGCATGTGCCCACATGTGCCCACATGTGCTCAGCATGTTTTTCAAATCACCTGTCTGGGACTCGAACATGCAGCCATGTGGGGATCCAGTGCCTTAATGACCATATCACCTGCTAGCCTAGAATTTACCATCTTTTTTTTTTTTTTGAGAGATTTTCACTGTAGAGCACGTGCGCTCGCCAGACAGACAGAGAGAGACATAGAGACAGAAAGCGAGAAATCACCCCCCAGGGGGGATGGTCACGCCGCAATCCCTTCTCCTCCATTCTCCTCTCGGGATCTTGGGCACGCATGCACACGCGCCCGGCGTGAGTTTTAAGCCACCGGGTCCGGGACACGAACCGCGGTCGACTACGTGGGAGTCCAGCGACATAGCCACTACACTAACTGCTGGTTCCCGAGAATTTACCATCTTAATGACGCAATGTCATCATTATGAATATTAACTATCACACTAGACTATAATACTGGTGGGTCCCCCACTTAAGATGGTGCAATTTATGATGGTGTAAAAGCAATGCACTTTCAGTGGAAACCATATTCCAGATTTTCAACTTGATCATTCCCTAGGCTAGCAATATAACCCTCTTAAACTGCTGGGCAACAGCAGTGAGCCATAGCTCCCAGTCGGCCACATCATCACAAGGATTCACAATTATAAACAACTGATACTCTACAGTGTAGCATGCTGCCAGAGGATTCTGCCCAAATGTAGGCAAATATTAAGTATTCTGAGCATGTTTAAGATAGGCTAGGCTTGGGGCCAGCAGATGGTGTGGTGTTTAAGGTACTGGACTCCCACATGGCTGACCAGTTCAAATTTCGGACCCGGTGTGATGAAATTCACTCCTGGCACATTTGTGTGCATGCCTGAAATCCCAGGAGGAGAACAGAGAAGGGACTGTAGTGTGGCCATCCCACCTGAAGGAGTGATTTCTCACTTTTTCTCTCACTTTCTCCAGCAAGTGCACATATCCTATGGTAGAAACTTAAAAAACAGAAACAAAAAAATAGGCTTGGTTAAATTATAATGTTTCAGAGGTTAGGTCTGTTAAATGCACTTGTGACTTACAATAGGTTACAATAACTGACAATAGGTTAATTGGGATGTAAACCCATTTTTAAAATGTAATTATTTATTTTGTTCTTGCTATCAGGGGTGTGCACTTGTGGGGGCGGGGGTCAGGGGAGAGAAAGTGATAAATCACCCTCAGGGAGATGGCCATTTCGCAATCACTTCTCCATTCTCCTCTCATGAAGTTGGCTATGTGGGATCCAGCTGCCTTAACCTCCACACCACCTCCTGGCCCTGTACACCCATTTTACAGAATTTGTATAAAATATACAGAAGCTGATTTATTTTATTCTGAATAAAATAAAAATGAATAATTAAGAAAACAATAAAAACAAAAACACCTACCACTTTTTGAGTATGCACCACGTTCCAGGTACTAACTAAATAGCCCTAAGAAATGTGAAGGGTCTAGGATTCTCAATCTGCCAAGGCCAGAATTTGACTACAGGCCTTGTGCCATCTATATTAAGAGATAGAAAACCTGAAAGGTAAGGTTTTTTTTTTTTTTTTTTTTTTCTTTCTGTGGGTTTCAAAATCAAGCCCAGTAAAGAACACTGCTAAATGTCCATGATCTTTAAGATTTGGGTTAAAATCAACTGAATCCAAAAGAAATCAATGCATCTAGCACTAGGATATCCCAGGCATTTTTCCAAGTGCTTTAAGATATGCTTACTTATTTAATCCAATGACCCAGTAAGATAGGCCCTCAGGCTCTTTTACAGATGAGGAAACAAGTATAGTTTAGTAAGCAGCAGAGCCAGGATTCAAACCCTGCATACTGACTCCAGCATCTGGAGGCTAACCTCTTCACCTTACTGCATCTCCAACACTTATTTATTTTTTAGAGGTTTTTGCCTTAGAGCATGTGTGCTTGCTGGAGAGAGAGACAGAGACAGTGAGAGAGTGAGAAATTCCCCCTGAGGGGATAGCCACGCCATAATTCCTTCTCCTCCATTCTCCTCCTAAGATCTTGGGCATGCACAGATACATGTCCGGCATGATTTTCAAGCCACCAGGTCAAGGACTTGAACCGTGATTGGTCATGTGGGAGTCCAGTGATATAACCCCTACCATCTGCTGGCCCCTCCAACACTTACTTAGTACCTACAAAGTACAAGCTCTACTTTAGTCACTGCAGAAGAACAAACTGGTACAAGTTCCTCAAACAGCATGCATTTTCAAACTGAGCAGATTAATTTTTCCCCTATTTCCATTTTCTGACATGGGAGAACCCAAAGGTAAAAACTTAGTCTGTACCAAAGGGAAACCTGGTAACATAGTCTATTTTTCTAAATCTAATAGCTTCAAAATGGCAAAAAGCTGCCTAGAATTTAGAATTTTGCTCCAGCATAGAGTTCATAATCCTTCTCATTTCCTTTACAATACAGTCTTCAAAATTATAAATACTATAAGATGGGGCAAAATGCTTAACCTTGCTAGAAATGAAATAAACTTTATAGTCTTAATGAAATAGCATCTTGTATTCATTAAAATGGTCAAAAGATTTGTTTTTTTAAGTTATAAAACCAAAAATTTTCTCTATCAGATAGCATCTTAAATTAATACCATACTTTCAGAGGACAATCTGGCAAAAAAGAGTTGTGTGCGTATATACGTGTGTGTACCCCCGCCACACACACACACACATTTTGACTCAGTAATTCCATTCCTAAGAATTACTCAAAGAAAATAATTCAAAAGAAATCAGAAATGGTTCATAAAAGGATATTTCTTACTTGGGGTTTGCAATGCTGAGAAGCTGTAAATAATCTATATTCTGACAGAGCTGTCACAGTGATTGTGGCACATTATCAACTCAATGCTATAGTCAAAATAATAAATATGAAAATATAGTAATATGAAAAAGCTCATAATTGTCACTTTAAAGTACAGTCTATTCTGGCCCCCAATTTTTTTAAAATGCATGCACGGTTTTCTTGTAACACACATTTTCCATAAACTTTTTGAAGACATCCTGTATAACCAACCAGAGTATGCCAGGATGGAATGAAGATGGAAGCAAAATAATTTACCACATTGGGGCCAGCAGGTGGCATAATGGTTAAGGCGCTGGACTCCCAAGTGGCTGACCACAGTTCGAATCCTCAGCCTATCAGTTTGAAACTCATGCTGGGCACACGTGTGTGCCCAAAATCCTGAGAAGAGAATGGAGGAGAGGGGACTGTGGTGTGAGCATCCAGCTAGGGGATAATTTCTCACTTTCTGTCTCTCCAGCAAGTGCACATACTTTATAGCAAAAATCTCTCTCTCAAAAAAAAAAAAAAAATACCAAAAATGTAATTTATCAGATTACAAATGAAGGACATCGCATCACTGAAAGGAGTAATAGGAATAATAGAAGTAATGCAATCTAGTAGTTTCTCATGGCGATACAGGTTAATAGTGCTGCAATTACCTGCATGTACACTGGAGTCAAATAAGTAAATAGGAGGAGGATGACAAGGAGCCAGACTTCTCACTGTCAGAGAGAGAAGCTACAGATAAGCAAGGGAAAGGGAGCGAATAACTCTGTGGTAATGTATCAGGGTAGGAGACACCCATAAGAGCTCATGTTTAGCCTAACCCAGAGACAGATGGAGAGTTAGAGGAACAATTACAATACTTGTACATATTAATACATGGGTTAGTATACATACATACATTTCCTAGCTCTGTCAGCTGAGAGGGCCTAAGAGAAATGATAACCCAGTAGCAATGGGCATAATCCAGAGTCAGATCTTGATTTCAAAATGTCATTCACCAAAATAAAAGGAAGTAGGGCTCTCTGGAGAAATCACTGATTCTATAGCTGGAACAGGGGAAATACTGGATGAGCCTAAAGTACTCTTCAGTGCCAAAAAGTAAGGACACACTCAAAACGCAACAGGATGGGAGCATGTGAGAGAAATATAGGCACCAAGATGAAAGACCTCAAAGAGTTCCAGTCAAAGCTGAAGTAGTATGAGTCACAAAATAATACAATAGCAAAATATGAAATAAATATGTGAATCTATACCAATACAAATGATTGAACAAATCAGTGGAGAAGAGATAAATCTTTCTAGAAGAATCCCGAATATATGCAGACTTGCTGCATTCCAGGCAGTTTAATTCCATCCTCTGTATCCAGTACAAGCTGGACTTAATCACTTGCTTCCAAATAACAGAACACAGTAAAGGGAAGAAACGCAACTTCATAGTGGAGAAAACCAGCAAACACTATTCTAGCCAGACAGTTAAGGTTCACATCATCAATAAGTCATGTTAATTCATGTACTCCTCATATGAGGTGATGAGAAAGACACTTCACCTCTATACTGTTCTTTCCCCCAAATCCATAACCTTACCTAGTTATGAGAAAAACATTAGATAAACCCAAACTGAGTGACATTCTCCATTAAATAGCTGATTAGTACTTCTAAAAATGTCAAAGTTATTAAAAACAAAGAGAGTGAAAAACTATCACAGATCAAAGGACACTGGGCAAACATGACAACTAAATTGCTACATGGTGCCCTAGACTGGATCCTGAAATAGAAAGAGGACATTAATGAAAAGACTGGTAAAATTTGAATAAAATCCACAGTTTAGTTAATAGTAATATAAGAAGGTTTGTTTCTTTAAAAAAAAAAAAAGAATTATTAATTTAATTTATTATTATTAATTTTTAATTTGCTACAGGGCATGTGTGCTCACCAGAGAGAGAAAAAGCGAGAGAGAATGAGAAAAAAAGTAAGAAAGCGAGCCCACCAGGTCCAGGACTCGAACCATGTTTAGCCACCTGGGAGTCTAGCACCCCAACTATCATGCTACCTACTGACTCTGACAAGGTTAGTTTTTTTTTTTTAATTTTATTTATTCATTCATCTATTTTAATTTGACCAGAGAGTGACAGAGAGTGAGAGTGAGAGAGAGAGAGAGAAAGTTGGAAAGGAAGCCACCAGGTCCAGAGCTCAAACCGTGGTCAGCCATGTGGGAGTGTCCAGCACCTTAACCACTATGCCACCAGCTGGTCCCCGACAAGGTTAGTTTCTTAATTTGATAAATCTACCATGGTAATTTAAGATGTTAGCAATAAGAAGAAACTAGGCAAGTGATATATGAGAACTGTATCCTTGTAACTTTTCTGTAAATCTAAAATTACCTCAAAGTAATAAGTTTATTTAAAAGAAATGCATACACATTGTATGATTCAACTACATAAAATATATAGACAGATTGAGGAAATAATGGTATTATAGAACTAGGGAACATTAAATCTTTCTTCCTTTATTTACTAACATGCTGTTTAAACTTTCCAAAGAAGCCCCTGATAACTGCAAACATCAGCAGAAGAATCCCCTGCACCTTAGAAAAAGGAACCACACAGGAACTTCACAGGAGAAGACAGAAAGACGGTAGTGCCAACTGAACTGAAAGGTAGAGCATGCAGAGGTGGCAGACAACACGTCTGAACTGGCATGACATGCAGTGCTTCCAGCTGAGAAACATGTATTGTCTCTCTTTCTAAGTCTCAGAAATCACCCAGAATTTTCCTTAGTGATTTTCTGCATCAGAGAGAAGGTATCTCATTTGCTGACTTTAGATTTTCATACATATTACTTTAAGTAATTTAATTGCAGAAGAATGATAAAGAACATGATGCTCATCACTAAGAAAAAATTGTGAAACCATGTTGAAATTTAGTTACCTTATGTAATCGAAGGTATACATGTGCTGAAGAGAGTTTGTCCACGTGAAACCTACAAAGAAGGAAAACCACATTTAGTGAGAGGTACAGACAACCATCTCCTCAGGTCACTTGCATGTGAAGCATTCCATTCCCAAACGTACCCACTCAGTACCTACTCCATGCTAGGCTCGTGGGGAATACAAAACAGTCACCATCTCCAAGGAACTCACTACCAACTTTAAGAGGTCACAGAAACACTGAAAAGTTATGTAGCTGTATGTGACGAATGTGAAGATAAGCAGTAGCAAAAACAAATATTAAATGCTCTCAGAAGGGTGACTTTTCTATGATAAAAAAAGTTATCATGGAAATTCTTCAAGAAAGGATTGAGATCTCTCCTGGCTGAAGTACAGGACTTACAGAAAAACAAACAAACAAACAAACAAAAACAGGGAAAAGAATTTCAGATGAGAAAGGAAAGGAAGGAAGGAAGTCACTGAGACTCCAGTAGTGCAAGCCTGGGATACTTGCCGGAACACAGTCTGGAGAAAAAGGTAAGGGTTTTATTTGGGACATCCTGAGTTTCAAGCGATGAAAAAACAATCCAAAGAGAATGTGAAGTACAAAGGTGGAAGAGTCAGGTGAGTTCTAAAGACAATAAGCAGAATCATCATTAATTAGGCTAGACCAACCATTCAAGATTGTGAAAAAGGATCTCTAGGTATCCACAGACACCAATTTGTTTAGTACAAACTCTTAATGAAATGAAAAACCAAGTCATAATTTATTGGATGTGAGCTGTAAATAGGATATTTCTCTTCCAATTAAATATACTTTTTATAAAAGGGTAAAGGCTGTGGTAAATTAGCTTTTATGATATATCCAAATAGGTAACCTTTCCTATACAGGTATATAAACTTTGAAACTGATACTCCAAAAACTTACAGCAGGTAATCACCAGGCTAATCCAGCTATTCTCACCTTCCTTAAGAGTCTGAACCTTTCTCGACTTTAAAAATAAAAAATAATTCAGCTGAAGGTGCCAGGTGTTTAATATGAGATAACCAGAAATCACTTATTTTTGTTTGAGAGGTTTATGCTATAGGGCGCGTGCGCTCGCCCAAAAGACAGAGATAGAGAGACAGAAAGCGAGAAATCATCCCCCGGGGGGATGGCCATGCCGCAATCCCTTCTCCTCCATTCTCCTCTCGGGATTTTGGGCACGCACACACATGTGCCCGGGGTGAGAAAAGAGATCCAGAAAGAGAACTGTGGCAATAGCCTGAGGGGCAAAGTGACTTGAGGCTGAGACCTGGAAGGAAGAGAAAGCAGCGATTTAGAACTGGACCTGAGCCAGTAATAACCAGAGTAGACCTGTTATTTTCTTTATCTCAGTGATCTCATCAGAAAAATAGGCATATTTTTCACGGGGTTATTGTGAAGTGTATTAGTGGAGGGCAACACTTAGTAGTATTTGGCATATGGTTAAACGCTCAATAAATGTTCACTATCACAATAAAGCAGTAGGATCCAAGTGCTTATCTTCATGAACAGCATTTGGTAGCAGGTGCCAGGAGTTGGGGAGACAATACCCCACTCAACAGGCAGAATTAGACCTCAGGAGAGATGTTCCTAGGGCCAGAGTAAGTGATGGAAACAACAACAAAAAATAACTATGAGTGTGAGAAGACAGAAAATTAAAGCACCAGGAGCCTGTGCCCTCCTAAAAGGTCCTAGGTCTGATGGGCAGGGAAAGTCACATGGCATTCTAAAACAGAAAGAGGAAACAATTCAGCAAAAATTAAGGGTTTTTTTGGTTTATTTGTTTTGTGTCTTTTTGGACTAGGTTTTATGAGTAGCAAAATAAATTATCTTAGAGGGAGACTTAAAAATCATATCTTAAAGTTTCCATAAATGACCTTAGAAGGAATAGGGGTTGGACCAAGATGGTAAACTCACTAGGATATTTAGAAGTCAAACTGTTTCCTTTAGAGCTGCATCTGGTCAGATGCTACATCTATTCTATCCACATGGGTGCCTGTGTCTAATTTCTTTACTGCTTCTCATGAAGTCTTCACCCAGCCACTCAATAAGAGTGGTCCGAATGTTTCAGCGCAGTGGTCTTGGTAACTTCCTACAAGAAGACAGTTATAAGGTAAAAGAAGACCCATCTATTTTCAGGCCTGAGATCTAACCCAAAACATCATTCCCAACTTGTGGATATATAAATAAAGGGGACTGTCAATTGGTTCAATTTAACGTTGAACACCCATGAACAAAAACACAAAGCAAATGCTCTCGTTTTAATCATAGGAGGTAGATGGCTGGTCAAGTCTAAGAAAGTAAATGATGATCCACAGAAAGCAAAACCAAAATTGTTACTTACCAAATATCTTCGGGCCAGCCATACTTTATTAGATCTTCATCTATGGTGAGATACAAGAGAACAAAGAACTGATAAGAAAAACTCAAATGAAGATATGTCAGGGTTTTTAAGAAGTCAGGGAGGGGAGAAAGACCAACCCCTTCCACAACAGTTTCTCTCCTTTAATGGAAGAAGGAATTACTCAGAACGGCCTTAGTGCTTGAAAATATAGAAAAATAAACATTTTTATAATTGAGTGATTAAAAACTATAATTCTGTAATACTTGTAATCTAAAACTCAAAGATGTTTCTATTGAAAGATAATAAAATACTGACAAATCAAAGCAACTGAGAAGTTAGATGTTTTAGATTGCTGATTCGTTATATGAACTTAAAAGGTTAAAATGACTGCTAAAACTTCGAAAAGATGGATTGCATTTTATTTCTTTTAAGAAAAAAATAACTATAAAATTATGAAAAATTAGAAACAGAACAAATTATTAGGAATATGGAGGAAAATAAAATCACCTAAAATTTGGTCATGTATGGAAATAAAATACCAAATGAAATGGCTAAAAGGGTGAAAAGCAATTACCTTAGGATAGGGGAGGACACAGGTATTGGGAAGGATGGTGTGGGGAAACTGATGCTTTTTATTGTAAGCATTCTATATTATTTGACCTTCTTTTTAAAAGAGGTTTTTGCCTTAGGGTGCAATTACTGGGGAGAGACAGAGACAGTGAGAGGGAAAGTGACAAATCACCCCCCAAGAGGAATTGCCACACTTCAACCCCTTCTCACTCTCCTCTTGGGATCTTGGGCACACACTCACATGTGCCTGATATGATTTTCAAGTCTGGAACTCGAACTGAAGTCGGGCATGTGGGAGTTCAGTGATGTAACCGCTACACCATCTGCTGGCCCCACTATTTGATTTTTTAAACTATTTGTTAGACAAAAATTAAAATTTTTAAAGTTCTTTGGAAACAATGACTACTTAATTCTATCATACGAATGAACTTTTCTTAATGACCTGGGTTATTTCTAATTATAAATGCTTCAGTAAATTTTATTGAAGATGTCCATATTCATGTTTTTTTTTCCTTAAAGTATATTTCTAAAAGCTGATGTATTAGTTCAAACTCTATGCACATTTATAACACCATAATAAGTATCACTATGGAAAGATTCTATCAATACATACTTTTAATGGCCAGATTAGTGATTAGTAAATACTTCTGTATTAAAACAGCACTTGAAAAAGTTTAAGCTAAACAAAATAATTCACTTGTAATAATTGACAATGAAAAATCTACATAATCCAAATGGGGTGTTTATTATCCAGAAAAGTAAAATAAATAAATAAATAAAATGACAACTCATAGATGAGGGCACTTGGAGCAGCTGCAGACACCCTGAGCTTTCCAAAGGGCTTTCCTCCAGCTTATGTGAGGAGCTGTGCAAACGACAGCTGATAGGTGACCAGAAAAAGTGAAGGGAAATATAAAAACCTCTTTTTTCCTCAGTTAAGCAATGTTTGGCTCCCTCCTGACACCTGCTGGCTCATGAAATAAAAAAGATCTAAAAGCATTTTAGTCAAAGTAACTTGTTCCATTAAAAATTCATTTATGTTCCACCCAGTTCTGAGCCTGAAATCACCAAGGCTATTAGAAGAATGTGTGATGTATTAGAAGTGCTGGACAACAGAGTGCTTTTAAAAAAATAGTGGCTTTGCTTACAAGGCACAGTAGGAAAAGGGCATACCTCCATAAGACTCCAAGGGTTCCTGGGGGGAAAATGTTCAAAACATGGTTTTTTTTTGTTTTTTTTTTTTTTTAAAGATTTTTGCCATATGGGATGTGTATTATTTTTGCTCCTTTTATTTTTTTTTAAGTAAGCTTTATTTTTCAGAGCAGTTTCAGGTTCACAAGAAAACTGATCCACACTTACTTCTGTGTGTGAGCCCAGCTGAATGCCATGAAAGCACAGATTAAATCTTCCCCTTTAATACCTCAGAGACTGGCATATGGCCCCACTTAGATAAGCCTCCAGCAAACAGTGAACAAGAAGGAAGAAAAAAAAAAAAAGACATAGTGGGAATGTCACTGGCATAGCTGCCTTAGGTCACCACTACTACCAGCCTATCTTTGTACACGGATTCTTTTTTTTTGTTAAGGTTTTTGCCATGTGGCACATCTGCTTGACGGAGACACAGAGAGAGAGAGAGAGGCAAAGTGAGAAATCACCTCCCGCCCCCCCCCCCCCCCCCCCCCCGGGAGGTGGCCAAGTGACAATCTGTTTTCCTCCATTCCTCTCTCAAAATTTTGGGCATGCACGCACATGTGCCTGGTGTGAGTTTCAAGTCGCTGGGTCCAGGACTCGAACCAAGGTTGGCCATGTGGGAGTCCAGCACCTTAACCTCCATGCCTCTTGCTGGTCTCTAGAAAATGTATATGAGCAAACTATCCATGGATTTCAAAATCTTCTACACCAAAATAAATTCATATTTCAATTCCATTTTCCCATATTTGAAGTCACTTAATAAATAAAGCCCTGCTCTACAGATTGCACAATGCAAAACTTGCACAATTGAATGTAGTAACTCTGCTTTAGTTCTTCTCGGGAACCTAAGTCTTAGATTCTCATGCTTGCTATGGTAGAAAGAAAACGAGACTTGGTCAGACTTGCATTCTTACCTACTGAAGAGATCTAGGACCTTAATTACCTTGCCTTACTATTTAATGTAACATAGGGAGATATAGTATCCCTTCCTTAGCTATATTAGGAAGATGCTCTGAGAACACAAAATTACCAACAATTATTTAAGGTTTACTAGAAAAAATATAAAACTGAAATGTCAATACACTGTAGACTACTTTATCCTTAAAAGTTATACCCAAAGTCAATGGGATAAAATTATTGGAAACTTTTAAACAGACATTAGTTTTGGTAAATTTTGGTTTTCTCTCTTAGCTAGGACACAATACTGTGCTTATGACAACCATTCTTGGTTTTATTTCATTACTGTCAAAAGTCTCATACTAAAATATAATTTGCCTCTTTTAAAGGAATATAAAGGATCAAGGTCATTGCTGTCAATTTCAGATGGCACCTAGTTTTAGAAGGGGTGGGGGTGAGGGGAGGTAAGGAAAAGCAATACTTGAATATTAAAAAAAGGTAACTACCTTGAATTAACCAGCTCTCAGCCTACTGAGGCAGTTATCCCGAGTGGAGTGTTCCCATGGGATGAAAAGGAGGAAGTACTGGAGAGCTAAACAAACTCCAGAGATGACAATCACCAGTTACTGAGTACCTGCTATGAGCACTCAACATACGTTCTTTCATTTGACCTTCACAGCCCTGCAAGACAGGATTACCTTCTGAGTACCATCCCACAATCCTTTTCTAACATCAAAGGAATCTGAAGTCTAAGAGCTTAACTCTAGCTAGTTTGCCAAAGAGCTGAGATTGGCCTGAACTCAAAGCTGTCTTTTCTAAAACATTACATTACCACATGAGAAGAGCAGCAGTGTTTTCCAAGCAGTGTTATACATATTTTATACATAACAAAATAAAAATAATGCTGTATTTTCTCCAGGTACCCTTGCTGTGCTTTCTCCCACCCCTCACCTCAACGTTCCACACTGTGAAGATCAGTGCTATAAACCGATTGCTCTCTTGGTTATCCAGAAAGCTCAACTTCACTTTGGTCTCCCTCTTCACTTGCTTAACCATAAAGACCATCCCTGAAGGCAGTGTTTTTCTTTTAAACTGTAGTTCAAGTTCACTAGTGGGCTCCAAAATAATTTAGTAGGTTAGTCTCCCTAATCCTAACCCTAGCTTTTAAAAAAAATGGGAGTGGGGAGAATAAAAAATAAACAATACAGGGCCAGCTGGTGGCATGGTGTTTAAGGCACTGGATTTCCGCATAGCTGATTACGGTTTGAGTCCTAGACCTGGTGGCTTGAAAATAATGCCAGCCTTGTATGTGCATGCCCAAAATCTCAGCAGGAGAAAGGAGGAGAGAGGACTGCAGTGTGGCCATCTTCCTGGGTGATGATATCTCTCTCTCACTTTGTCTCCCACAGTGAGCACATGAGCCCTACAGCAAAAGTAAAAGTTTTTTTTTTTTGGAGAGATTTTTGCTATAGGGCACGTGCGCTCACCAGACAGAGACAGAAAGCGAGAAATCCCCCCCCGGGGGGTTGGCCACACTGCGATCCCCTCCATTCTCCTCTTGGGATCTTGGGCACGGCATGCACATGCGCCTGATGTGAGTTTCAAGCCACCGGGTCCGAATGCAAACCGCGGTCGACTACGTGGGAGTCGAGCGACATAGCCATTACGCTAACTGCTGGTCCCAGCAAAAGTAAAAGTTTTAAAAATGGTAAAAAAAAGAAAAAAAAATGTATGAAGTGATCTCTTTAAAGTCCAAACCATATAGGATTTTTAATTGATGTAAATAAGCATAGGTTACCCTCTGACTCATATTATTCTAAATCAAAAGATTCTACAAAATCCTCTGGGAAATAAAAGCTTCTAATCAGCAACAGATAATGTCAATACACTGTAGACTACTTTATCCTTAAAAGTTATACCCAAAGTCAATGGGATAAAATTATTGGAAACTTTTAAACAGACATTAGTTTTGGTAAATTTTGGTTTTCTCTCTTAGCTAGGACACAATACTGTGCTTATGACAACCATTCTTGGTTTTATTTCATTACTGTCAAAAGTCTCATACTAAAATATAATTTGCCTCTTTTAAAGGAATATAAAGGATCAAGGTCATTGCTGTCAATTTCAGATGGCACCTAGTTTTAGAAGGGGTGGGGGTGAGGGGAGGTAAGGAAAAGCAATACTTGAATATTAAAAAAAGGTAACTACCTTGAATTAACCAGCTCTCAGCCTACTGAGGCAGTTATCCCGAGTGGAGTGTTCCCATGGGATGAAAAGGAGGAAGTACTGGAGAGCTAAACAAACTCCAGAGATGACAATCACCAGTTACTGAGTACCTGCTATGAGCACTCAACATACGTTCTTTCATTTGACCTTCACAGCCCTGCAAGACAGGATTACCTTCTGAGTACCATCCCACAATCCTTTTCTAACATCAAAGGAATCTGAAGTCTAAGAGCTTAACTCTAGCTAGTTTGCCAAAGAGCTGAGATTGGCCTGAACTCAAAGCTGTCTTTTCTAAAACATTACATTACCACATGAGAAGAGCAGCAGTGTTTTCCAAGCAGTGTTATACATATTTTATACATAACAAAATAAAAATAATGCTGTATTTTCTCCAGGTACCCTTGCTGTGCTTTCTCCCACCCCTCACCTCAACGTTCCACACTGTGAAGATCAGTGCTATAAACCGATTGCTCTCTTGGTTATCCAGAAAGCTCAACTTCACTTTGGTCTCCCTCTTCACTTGCTTAACCATAAAGACCATCCCTGAAGGCAGTGTTTTTCTTTTAAACTGTAGTTCAAGTTCACTAGTGGGCTCCAAAATAATTTAGTAGGTTAGTCTCCCTAATCCTAACCCTAGCTTTTAAAAAAAATGGGAGTGGGGAGAATAAAAAATAAACAATACAGGGCCAGCTGGTGGCATGGTGTTTAAGGCACTGGATTTCCGCATAGCTGATTACGGTTTGAGTCCTAGACCTGGTGGCTTGAAAATAATGCCAGCCTTGTATGTGCATGCCCAAAATCTCAGCAGGAGAAAGGAGGAGAGAGGACTGCAGTGTGGCCATCTTCCTGGGTGATGATATCTCTCTCTCACTTTGTCTCCCACAGTGAGCACATGAGCCCTACAGCAAAAGTAAAAGTTTTTTTTTTTTGGAGAGATTTTTGCTATAGGGCACGTGCGCTCACCAGACAGAGACAGAAAGCGAGAAATCACCCCCCGGGGGGATGGCCACACTGCGATCCCTTCTCCTCCGATCCCTTCTCCTCCATTCTCCTCTTGGGATCTTGGGCACGGCATGCACATGCGCCTGATGTGAGTTTCAAGCCACCGGGTCCGGATGCAAACCGCGGTCGACTACGTGGGAGTCGAGCGACATAGCCATTACGCTAACTGCTGGTCCCAGCAAAAGTAAAAGTTTTAAAAATGGTAAAAAAAAGAAAAAAAAATGTATGAAGTGATCTCTTTAAAGTCCAAACCATATAGGATTTTTAATTGATGTAAATAAGCATAGGTTACCCTCTGACTCATATTATTCTAAATCAAAAGATTCTACAAAATCCTCTGGGAAATAAAAGCTTCTAATCAGCAACAGATGGTCCAATTAGTTCAAATATTATTTGATATACAAAATTTTCTAAAGTTACATAATCTGAAATTCTTTTTGAGGGGACTTGTTTCTGAAAAGCTGACTTATCAGAAGTAGTTAGCTGAAAACTCATATCCAATTGGGCCAGCAGGTGGTGCGGAAGTTAAGGCGCTGGCTCCTACTTGGCTGACTGTATGGTTGGAGTCCAGGAACTGGTGGCTTGCAAATCACACCGAGTGCATGTGTATACATGCCCAAATCCCAAGAGAAAACAGGCAGAGAAGGGACTGTGGCATGGCCATCCACTCAAGGGGGTGAATGCTCACTTTTCTTCTCTATGCCTTCTAATAAAACTAAAACAAAAGCCAACCAATAAATCAGGGATGAGGAGTGTGGTTGAGAGAAGACAATACTTACCTGTTGGAAATTTCAAAATTAAATGTCTTTGAAAACTTACTTTCATATTTATCCTTTCCCATGTAAATAGTGTAAGCAGATGAATTAACTAAGAAAAAACAAAAACAAAAGTAATTAGATAAGTCCATTTCCAGCAAAACTGAGTAATTACAACTGAACACTATAATGACTTACAATTTTCTTTTGTTATAAATACATTATCAAGACACCAATTAAAACTGAATAAAGTCTGTTTACTAGAAAATAATATGCTGCAACATTAATTTCCTAATTTTGAGAATGAAGATGCCTTTTGATAAGTGAATACTCTTGATTTTAGGGAAATAAAAGCTGAGGTAGTAACTTACAAGAAATGGTTCAGAAAAAAGTGTGTATAGAGAGAAAAAAAGAAAGATAAAAGAGGGCAAGAGACAGGCAAACGTGGTAAGATATTAGAATGTGGGGTATTTGCTAGAAGGACATACAGAAAATCTTATTGTTTAAGCAACTTTTCTAAAGGACTGAAAGTAGATGTCAAAATAGAAAATTTAAAATAAAAAGGAGCATGACTGCTGGGCAAGAAATCTGAATGAAGCACCTTTCAAGTTAAAGGGAAGGAAAAATGGACTTATTCTAACACATTTGTTATTATCACCAAATAATATAATAATTCTTACTATGGGAATTGGTCATTTTGGAGATACCTAGCTCAAGTGTAGCAATCAACCTAATTTTGAAGGTGTGAATAATTTATAGAGCAACCTATATTGAGACAGATGACATTATCAGGTACTAAAAGTTATAAGTAGTCTTAATGACTAAATAGACTTAGTTCTGATTTCAAAAGCTCCCTGTTCATTTTGTAAGTAGATATTTTGTGGGTCCATAAACCAGACGGTCTTGAATTTGATACTAGAAATACATGAAGACAAATGAATGTTCTATTATTCTGAGAGCATGAAAGAATGAAAATTGAACAGACTGTAGTCAGCAATACTAACCTTAGTAAAGCAAACCACTCCCTATAGAGATTTTCCTTCCATTTTTCAAAAGTTTTTATCCAGTAAACCATTAATTAAAAAAATCTGGTTAGGGACCAACAGGTGGCATGGTGGTTAAGTTGTTGGACTCCCACATGGCCAACCATGATTTGAGTCACAGACCTGGTGGCTTGAAAATCATGCCAGGTGCACGTGTGTGTGTGTGTGTGTGCAAAATCCTGAGAGGAGAATGGAGAAGAAGGGATTGCTATGTGGTCATTCCTCTAGGGGGGGTGGGGTGATTTCTCACTCCCCTCTGGCCCCCCTGGAGAGTGCATGTACAAAAACATTGAAAAAAAAAAAAAAAGCAACTGGCTATTCATACAAACTTATTTCCTGAAGATTCTGTTATATAGAAGTTTTTTTTTTCTTCACTGAGGATATGTAACTTTTGATGGAAAAGTTATGAGTTTCCCATTAACTTTGCACTTTAGAAAGACTGACTGCACAAGTGCAGTTTTATTAAGAGTTAGAGAGCAAATATTTTCCATCAAGAAGTGTTCTGACATTTTACTGGAAACTAATGAGAAAAATAGGATCCACAAATCTGCTTCAGCATTCTGTTCTATTAAGGGAACCTGTGTATGTACAACTAGTGTTTAAAGAATTGAGGATAATAAAGCAGCTAACGTAAAATCTATCTAGTACCAATTAGCTTATCTGTATTTTATTTTTGTGTTGGGCATATTTGTGTTGTTGGCAACTCTCACACATGGAAAAATTACAAAGAGGAGGGTCAGAAAGAAGGACACACTTGCCAGTGATTTGAAGATGGCTGAAGGCTAGGGGGTGAATTACAGCTTCAGGGACCTGCTGGGGCTGCTGTCTGTCTCTCCCTCATGGAATAAACTTTAAAAAAGGGAAAAGCTAAGCTAAAATTTCTCTTACCTCATAACTAGAGAACAGAACAAAGATGAAATTGCCTATGACACTGATAAAGGTGTATGATTTTTTAGGCTACTTTTGAATTTTGTTTCTGGCAAATTTATTCATATGGGTTAAACAAACCAAAACTACAGAGGCAGAGAAACAGCTTATGGCATGCTGTGGAAATCTACACTACTGAGAAAAAACAATGAGATGCTAACAGTGTGATGAAATAGGAGGAACAAGGACTTGTAATAACTTTCTAGAACCTCAATTTCTCATCTCTACAGTAGCACCCTATTCAAAATCAGCAAACACAGAGCTAGTTTCTCTTAAATTTTACCACCAAAAAGAATGCAGATAGAGTGAGCAACAGAACAGTGCACTATAAAAGTAAAAAAAAAAAAAAAACAAAAAAACAACATTTGTTTTATTCATCAAACATTTACTAAGATCCATTATGGGGGGCAGTAAATGGTGTGGACGTTAAGTTGGCTGGATCCCACATGACCAGTTGTGCAGTTTAATTACTGGATCTGGCAGCTTGAAAAATATATTGGTCGTGTGTGCAAGTATGCCTCAAATACTGAGAGTGGAGAAGGGATTGTGGAGTGGTCATTTCCCTTGGGAGGTGATTTCTCATTTTTCTTTATGTCTTTCTCAGGTGAGCTCACACCCTGTATCAAAAACTAAAAAAAAAAAAAAGTTAGGAAAATAACTAAAAAGTTCCTGTTCCTTCCCTCAATTCACTAAGGGCACTTGTGCTGGGGTAGGAGTTGGGGGTATATTAGAGAGAAGGGAGAGGAAAGGGGAAGAGAGGTAGGGACAGTGAGAAAACATCCCCCCATGGGGGACAGTCATGCCACAATCCCTTCTCCATCTCTCCCTCCTTTATGGAGTTTGGGCATGCAAAAACATGGGCCTGGACATGCACCTGGACATATGCCTGTCATGTTTCTCTAGCCACTGAGTCTAGAATCCAACTGAGCAGTCAGCCATGTAGAGTCCAGCCACCTTAACCATGAGGTCATGGGATGGCCCAAAGCAGTCCACTTTTTTTAAGATTTTTGTCATAGGGGCTTAGGGGATTCTACAATAGTGAGATGGATGGAAAGTGAGAAATCATACCTTGCCCCTGTCCCTTTATGGCCATACCTCAATTGCTTCTCCATTTCCTCCTGGGATCTTGGACACTGGTGCATATGCAACCCAGCATGATTTTAAAACCACTGGGTCCAGACTCAAACCATGGTCTACCATGTGGGAGTCCAGCTCCTTAACCACTATGCAACCTGCTAGCCCTGGCAGCCCTCCTTTAATACCACGTGATGAGCGCAATGCAGAGGCCTATAAGGGACACTAAGGGGGTCCCCAAAGAGGCATACTTAAGCAACCTTATGGCAAGAGCTGGAGAAGGAAAGGCATCCTGGAAAAATCAGGCCAAAGCTGTCCTAACAGGAAAAAAAAAAAAAAGAATTGAGAATTGATTCTAGGTAGGAGGAACATATGCATAGAAAGTCCAAACTCTCCATTTCCTGGGAACTAAAGTCACCCTCTATTTGCCTGCCAAAAACAAGTCAGAAACATTATCAAGTCACTTTTCAAAATCTGTGACATCGACTCTATTCTATGAGGGGCTACGCTGACATTCTAAGATCTTTTTATTGCTTTCCTTTGCACCCCAGGCCCTACAACCTTTTCCTAGGATAAGGCACACTTCCTGTAAGGCAGAGTTGCCAACAGGTGTTTCCTTTCTTAACGTGAGTAATTTTCAGGGTGGTCTGAATAAACGTCGCAGGGCGAGAAGGGGACTTGGGACGGGGGATGATGAGCCCACAAACTGCCCACTTTGAAGGAGTGACAGGAGACCTTTCCATTTGGGAGATGGACCCACCCCGGATGCAAAGACGGCAGAGCCATTGCACCTCCGCGGTCCCCAGGCCCTCTCAAGGGGATGCCTGGGAACGATAAGGCAGCCCCGAAAGACAGACGCGCGGGGAGCCCAGAGGCGCGGAGACACTCGCCGCCAACCAGGCGCTTTAGAGCAACATCCTGGCGCAGCGGCGGCCCGGGGGTTCCCACTTCGGGCCCCTCTACGGGACCGGCTCCGGCAGGCCGCGGTGCCCACTACCCGCCGCTGCTGGT